TCCCTGCCGTCTGTCTCTGTCTCGAGAAAGACATTCGTAGTGAGTTGAGCACAGGCGCACGTCGCCTCCTCTACTCACCCTAGGCTGTCACCTGGCCCAGTGTAGGGTGGGGGTGACGGCAGAGGAGCTGCGAGGTCCAGGGCGGGGGGAGGAGGGTTCCGCGGAGACCCCGGCCTTCCGCTGGGGCCTGGTCCAGGCCCTGCCGGCAGCTGACCTCGGGCTTCCTGCAGGGACCTGCAGGGCCTCGCCAGGCCGCTGGGACTCAGTCGGTGCCCGCTGCCCCGCGCCCGGCGCCCCCGCCCTGCTCAGACGCTCTGTGTACGGGCGGTTTGGCGCGCAGCCCCTCACCCGGGCACTGCACCGTGTGTCAGAGGCCACGGCGCGAGTGTCATGTGTCTGGTTTGCACCTCTTCAGGTCCTATGGAAGGATACATACCATAAGCAGATCGTCTGCACATTCACGGAAATGGCTGTAGAAACAACTTCTGTTATTTTGTGCACAGGAATGAAGAAATAGAAGTAATTCCGGATATTATGTCCTAAGACTGCTTGCAACTCTTAATTCCGCAAACTCCAATCTGACCCAAGGACAAGAGAAGTAAATACTCTAGCTGCCCATTGATGTGGTTTGGAGGGGATCTCAGAGAAAATTCCTCACTTCAGAATCTCTCTCCCTGACGTCTGGTGTTTAACCATTAACAGTTCCAATCAGGGCAGAGTTGCCCACGTCCTCTGGCAGGCAGTCTTTTAAAGAAAATACTGCAGATTGCCCAGTGTAGGAAGTGCCTAACAAGAGAGTGATTCCTCAGAAAAATCGGCATTTAACAAATACATAATGAACACCTACTCACAGCATAGGAACCGTGCTGGGTTCTGGAGACATCTCGGTGAACTTCCCTGGACTCAAAGAGGACAAAGAAGCCAAACTAGACCGGTTTCACAATTCTGTGTAAAGCTGAGCCTATTCTTACAGCATCAACGTCTACCACTAATCTTCAAAATACCCCCATTTTTATAAAGAACAAATAAAGAAATGCTAACAGGCCAGTTTCCGTTTTCCTTGAGTGGAAGATAACAGATGTCATGATTTCATGAGCTCTAAAGAGAGTAAGACATTCTATATGACAGCGGTACACAACTGGCCCTCAAAACATTACTCGTAAAAGACCACAAGGAATGTCTGTTGTGTCCAAACTGTTACTGTATGGATTTTGTTCAATGTGAAGTATACATAATAAATAAAACCTGGTTTAAAAGAGCTTAAATGGACACAAAAAATGTGTAATCGAAAACTTGAAAAAGAAAATAAAAGCCCTTAACTATATATCACACATTGGAAAACTTTTAAAGTGGGAAATTTTCCAAATAATTTGATTCTAAAATTGGACTCTAAGATGAGATTATAACATCAATGCTTAAAAATACGCAATTTGGGGCGAGGGATCCCAGGTGGAGAGGAATCAGGGTTGTGTTGCGGAACCCCCTTGAGCATACCTGATCCAGGCTGGCCAGGCAGGGTGGACGTGATGACCCTGTGGGGGATGTCTCTCTGAAGAAATAAATAAATTTTTAAAAATATGCATGTAATTTTTTTAATTTGTAAAATTAAATTTAAAAATTAAAAAATTGTATACCATTTCACATTTAATCATTCTTTAACAATACCTTTAAAATTACTTGTGACAAATAGATAGTAAATGAGGTGTCGCACCTCTTCTCCAGAGCCCGCCCGCGATGGCTCCCATACCCCTCAGGCAAGGCTGGGGCTGCACCCTCCCAGGCTCTCAGCACCCGGCTGCCCCAGCCTGCTCTCTTCCTCGCCACCACTGTGGGCACACTGGTCTCTCCTTGCATTAGGCCTTTGCACTGGCAGGCCGCGTTGCTCGAAATGCCTGTCGTCCAGACAGCCGTGGTGAGAGCTCCCTCATCTCCTGATTTGCTCAGGCTTCACCCTCGGTGAGGCCTACCTGGATGCTGTCCCAAAGGGTAGGCCAGAGGGTCTTCCGCCCTGGTCCCTGTGCTTCAATGTTCCCCAGTGCAAGTGTCCCCTGAAGTACCTTTATTGGAAGATTCATAGGCTCCCTACCACTTGGGATTTGCTGCTGAGAGCTGGCTTGGCAACTCCCGTAATTCCAGGTGTCTGCTCTCGCACTGCACCGCCAGCTCCTGACACCTCAGCTCGCGTCTTGTTACGCTGGTTTTCACTGTTACCCTCATTCAGACTCTAGGTGCCATAGGACAGCAGTCTGTTCTGTTTATGAAGTCAATATTTGGATGAATGGTTTAACTGAGAAAATTCTGTTTGAAATTTAAAAAAAAATTCAAAGGATAAATTCATTGTTTTGACATGAAGTAGAACAATGTCAGTGGCTGCTGCAATGCCCTGGAATGGAAATGGATTTGTGAAGTGTAGAAAAAACACAGGACAGAAATGACCAGCAGTTAGTGTAATGGCTATGTTGCTAAACTCCCATGTAGTCGACCACGGGTCGAGTCCCAGACCCAGTGGCTTAAACGCATGCCGGGTGCATGTGTGTGCGTGCCCAAGATCCCGAGAGGAGAATGGAGGAGAAGGGATTGTGGTATGGGCATCTCCCCTGGCAGGTGATTTCTCGTTTTCTGTCTCTCTGTCTCTCTCAGTCTTTCTGACGAGCGCATGGGCACTATAGCAAAAAAAAAAAAAAAGGAAAAGAAAAAACCCAGGATGGCAGTGTGAGCAGCAGTACCGTGCTCTGTGTTATATGGGGGTAAAAGTATACATCTGATCTGGCCAGGACTCTGCTTGGCCCAGCTTGAGCCAGGCTTCGAAATCTCTGCAGACCCATCTGGCATTTCCTTGTAAAATCTAGTTTTAGCTTTAGCAAGGAGTCTTCCCACGAGGGAAAAAAGTCTGTAAGTCTACCTGATGCCACACACAGACTCCATTAGTCAGGTCACGAGACTGATCATCATTTCTGGCTTTCATCCAATTACTGAGTATTTCCATGCCCTTGCTGCATTCGAGGCCTTGGAAGTCTAAGTCAGCTGGAAAGCGTTCCAGATTGGCAGGGACTCCAGACAGCAAACAGGCAATAACAGTGGCGGGGGCAAGGGTGAGGGCGAAGGTGGAAGCACCCATGGGGTTCTCTGCAGCCGTGGAGAGACACCAGCCCCACCCCAGGGTCAGAAAAAGCTTCCTGCAAAGGCTGAGTGCAGGCTGGAGACGGAAATACTCGGTAGCTCTGAGCATGGCAGTTCCTAAATGCTTTCAGTGCCCGCCCCCTAGCCCGTCTAGGGCAGATCCTAAAAACATCAACGCAGAGCTAACTGCAGTCAAAAGACCGTTCCTTGTTCAGAAACTATGCCCTCTTTTTTGGAATTTAAATAACCTTCCTTTTAAGATACAGAAAAAACAATTTGGCTTATCTCTAATGTCCTTTCTTGACCAATCAGTTGGTAATGAGTTGCCGGCCTGCTGGATTCTCGAAGGGGGTTGTTTTGAGGTATTGATGGTTGAGTGTGTCTTGATCTACCAAATCCATGTCCAGAAACTACTGCCAGCTTGGGCGGGATGGGCAAGAGGACGTGGACCAGCAGCCTCAGCAGCACCTGGGGGCTGGGGACTGCAGGATCACAGGCCCGACTCACTGAGGCAGACCTGGAGTTGGAGCACACCCCTGGGTGGTCTCCACGCCCGCTAAATTGTAGAAGCACTGTCCCAGGAGAGAGACCAGCAGGTGCAAGTGCTGGCATGGGAGCTCGGGGTTTGAAGGTCCTCTCCCCAGTGCGATGAGTCAAGGCCACACTGAGGGGGTGTGAGAGGACTGGGAGGCCAGGGGGCGGTGGAGGGACCTGCTCTCTCCCTCTGCTCCAGGCGCAGCTGGACAGGTAGCTGGCCCCTGCTCCATGTGGTCACTTTTAACCAAGCCACGTTCCATAAGATGTCCAGTCCCTCACTGAAGAACCTCAAGGCGGAGTCTGAACTAGGATGGGACCAAGATCTTGGCCTGCTGCATGGCCACGGTGGGATGTTGCTGTGAGGAGGCGTTTCGGAACTGTGGGGACAGGTTGTACTGGCTCTCCAGGTGACTGGGGCAGAGGACCAGACACCACAGGGCAAAGCTGCCCTCGGCACGCAGCGGCATCAGGCTGACGGCAGGAGCCTCCCCCACGCTGCTTTGACGTCTTAGTGAGTGGCCACCCTGCACCTGTGGAGGGATGGCACCGGAAGTATAAAAGGCACAGGCCTGCCCTTTTGGCACTTCTAAGTTAGGGTTTGGTAAAAACCTGCATTTTGCCTTTTATCTGCCCAAAGGGAAAGATCATCCCAAACAGCTGCACCAGCTGAGGTGGGC